AGCGAAGGTGAAAATAGTCAAAAGAACAATCAAAAGAGCGAAGGCAAAAAAGGTCAAATGAGCGAAGGTGAAAATAGCCAAAAGAACAATCAAAAGAGCGAAGGTGAAAATAGTCAAAAGAACAATCAAAAGAGCGAAGGCAAAAAAGGTCAAATGAGCGAAGGTGAAAATAGTCAAAAGAGCAGTCAAAAGAGCGAAGGTGAAAACAGTCAAAAGAGCAGTCAAAAGAGCGAAGGTGAAAACAGTCAAAAGAGCAGTCAAAAGAGCGAAGGTGGAAACAGTCAAAAGAACAGTCAAAGTAGCAGTTATACAGGACAATCTAAAGCAGCATAATAGAAAATAGACAGTTTTACGCAGCATATCTATATAACGTAAGTTTTTAATATTAGCATTTTGGTTTATGGCACAAATTTGCTTGCTTATTTTAATTTTAAATCTTGTATATTTAAAGATATTAGAATTATTAGCAGAATTGTTAATTTAATTTGAACATACACAATATTATTATTAGCAGATTGTTAATTTTATTTAATATTTTAATTGAATCATATGTATTATTATTATAAAGTTCTTAACGTCATTAGAATTAGAAATTTATTAATATTTTAATTCATGTAACAATTCTCTGAAATAAATTTTATTTGTTCTTGTTCTAATTTTCAGAAATATCATTAAAACGCATACAGATTTTGACCCTTCTGTTATCGAGAATCTATACAGTCTTATGAATCACTTTGCAAACTTAGCAACTTTTTTTTTGTAATCGTTTTAAAAAGCCGTGTTTTTAATTTATATACCTGATTGCCATCCCGAAAGACAACATTTACAAATTAAACAGCAATATCTTACCCTAGCAGAAAAGTGACACCATGATTTTTATGATGATGGCGGAGAATCCTTGGGATTCTAAATTTCAAGTAGATTATAGTTCTTGATTAGTAATGTCTATTTAATCATATGAGCGAAAATTTACAGTCGGAACATGTGATTATTAAAATTAAATGTGATGGTCTATAGTAACTGTATGAAAACTGATAAGAGCTCGTAAATTATCTAAGAACCCATAAAGTAAACTATATAAAAAACTGATAAGCAACTGATAAGTAACTCACAAGAAATTTTACGATGATTGATTAAAATATCCCTTTTAATTTATAGTTAGACGAAACCTTTAGGTTTTGCGCTGATGGAACGCGAAACCTAGTTTTGTCTTTCGTCGATTAAAATCTTAAGTGACGAAATGACGAAACTGTAAAGGATACAAAACTAATAAAAGACGAATATATCCTGTGAGCCCCGAGACCTGAACCACTTACTGCGGCCCCATACGACCTACGATCACGGGTCAAGTGCAAAATATCGCATTTGTTCAATTTATGAATTTAACGAATTTAACGAATTTATTCATTTTAATGAATTTATCCATTTTATTCGATTTATCTGATAAATCCATTTTCTGCATTTATTGAATTTGTTTTAATGCTGAAACTTCAATTATAAATAAAGGCCGTGAAGGCCCTAGAAACTAATAAGTTCCGTTTGCTTACAATTATCGTTCCCTAATAAAAAATTACCCAATTGACCCAATACAACCCTTAAGTATCTAAGTAAATAACCCGCTATACTAAAATATTTTTACCCTGATCGATCACTAAGTGGCATAGTGAAAGATCTTCGCTCGTTAATTGACTTACTCACGTGACTTCGAAGAAGATTGTTTCCGGTTGATTCTCGACGGACTGAGGACTACCGTGGTTTTCCAACTCTCCCAACGTATTGTGGACAGTTGAGGTTACTGTGTCCAACACTCCCAACGTACCATGGATTGTTGTGGTTTATTAGTTCCGGTTTTGGGTTATTGTTGAAGAACTCAAGCCGTGGTTATTGTGTTGACATATTAACAAAGTTCAATACAAGATAAAGAAACCATACCTACGATTATATTATCCACTCGCCAAATAAAACCGCCTCCTTCGACGAAGCCAATCGTAGGTTACACGGCATCTCGGATTGCCAAACGACTGACTCGCCGATTACTGGTGTCAATCCCTATAAGAAAAAGTACCGGATCAGGCACGGGTATGTCTGAGTTGGTACGGATTCAGTGGACCGTGTAGGACCGTATACCCATGCCAATTGGACTGTAAATGGCTTAGGTTTTGCAGCAGTTTATTAGTCGAATCAGCACGGGATTTGGCACGGGGTAATGATACATAAATTCACGTGCCACCGCGATAACAAAAACAAACATGTGGATTAATGATTTCGATGCTAACTGTTAGTATCGCTTAACCCCATGACACTAATACTGCAAATCGCATTTAAACGCTCATTTTCTTGGGGGCTCTCAAATTAGCCACTTGCTATTTATTCACATGTACAAATACTATAAGTACAGAAGTACCATTTATCCTTATGTAAATTTGACAACAATAAGTTTATTTTTTTAACTTTTTTAACTCTTAATTTAAACACTAACAAGCATATTATTTCCCTGTGATTTCTAACAAGTTAGCTTCTATAATAAAATAATTAATTCATTATGAAATATTCAGTTGGTATATAAGTTTTTTGTTATATTTGTTGAATATTTATTATTCAAATCTAATCGATACCTTTATAAATGCAACCGTTATTAGATAGATATTTTCTATATTTAACAAATTATGAAGATTAAACTTTTTGTTACTTTCAGTGCGAAATTGGTAAAATCATTAAAAAGTGAAGCTAGTGAAACTAAGTTGAAGCTTCAGCAGCTAGTTGGATAAAAAAAATTTTATTGGGTTTTTTTAGGCAGTATAGCGAAGATTAGAAAAAGTATGCTAAAGTATTTAATTCTCTAAATGTTATTATTGCTGTATACTTAAGTATTATAATCATTACATATTTAATTGACAAGATCTTTTTTTTATATTAATCTGATTGTAGTTTATTTTTTAATTTTATTTATCTTGTTTGTATAATTTAATACAATCAGCAATTATTAAGTTTTTTTAATTAGTATACTATCTTCTTGGTAGTGGTTTTGCTGGGGAGTTGATTTGGTTTCTTTTTTGCTAAAGAAAAATTTTTCTATCCAAACTTCACTTGTTTCTTCCAAGGCTTTAAAAATTTGAAGAAATATCTTTGGCTTGGTACCTACAAAGTTACAACTCTTTTTTTCTATTTCTTTTTACCCATATCTTCAATCTTCTTTACATCACTATTACTTTTAACTTATAACTACATTACTCATATTTTCAATCTTCTTTATATCACTATTACTTTTAACTTATAACTACCCAAACTATTATTTTCATCTTTATCTATTCTACTTTTATCTATATTTTCTACTCCTAGCTTACTCTTTTCTATACTTTCTTCTTTGTAAGAATTACCTTTTTTAGAGAGCTCAAAAAATTTTACATTTGTATTATATAGTTTTTCTTTACTTAACTCTGTATAAAGTTTACTATTTATCTGTTATTTATTATAGTCTTGTAGTCCAAGCAGATAAAGTATTTTCTTTTACTTTTTTATCACTCTTTTCTTTTTTAGCAGTTTCTACTTAGAGACTTGGCCTTGAGACTAGAGAAGCTTTATTTTTTAATAATTGTTCTAGTATATTGCTTCTTTAGATTTGCTATACTAGAGTAAAGTGCTACTTGAGATACAATTGGTGGCAATTTTTCTTTGGCCTTCTTTAGTTGACTTTAGCTAACTTCAATCTTTGACTTCTTTGGCTTTTACAAACTAGAATTCAAATCACTTCTAGATTTGTCTACTCTTAGTATATTTTTTAAATATAAGCTTTTAATTTTTTCTTGTAGCTGTTTTGGGTTTCTCTGAGCAGACCTTTGAGTTGTATACTTCCTAGCTAGCAAGGATCGGGTTACATAGTTGGACAGCTTTTGAGACAGGTTATATAAACTTCTAGAGAAAATAAAATTATCTTTCTTGGTTACAGAGGTTGAAAAAGTTTTAAAAAAGCTTGGCCTTAAGATATTAGAAGTTGCAAGAGTAGCTGGTACAGAAAATTTATTAGAGCTAGAGATAGTTAGATTTGAAGATGTTTTATAGCTAAAATTAGAATATTTATATAGTAATTCATTATGTTTAAATTACAGATAGTTAGCTAGAGTTGAAATTGTTCTTTTTGGAGTATCATTTTACTAATAACACAAATGGTTGTATTACAAAACTCTTTTTGATTTTATAATCATTGTTCTAGTGTTATCTAGATGTACTTAGTTTTAAAAAGTAGAAAAACAATACATATTGTGAAAGAAACACACAGACTTCTTTGGATCTTGGGGTGTAATCATAGATCTGAAGGTGAAAAGGGCTAGCAAATGCAATGTGCAAGAACAATACTCTTTGCAGATGCACTTTTCAAAAATGCTATATCAAACTTGTTAGATTTGGCTGGTAAGTGATAACAGCTTTAGATCAATAGGTGAAAAAGTATTATTAGCAAGTATGCTTCACAAGAATACCACACTAACTACATTAGAAAACATTTTTAAATTTTAGGCTTAGAACTAGTATTTGGTTCTAAAATAAATAGACCTGGTAAAAATGTATAGTTTGCAGCTAGGCATAACACTTCTAATGTCTGGTGTTAAATATGTGACCCTTAGAAAATGATACAAGAGTGAACAAGTAAGTAGAAATAAGGATATCAATAGTTGCATTAAAGAATTCAACTTAAAGCCACATGAAAGCATAGTCTAATAGATTCTTTTAATAGATTAGTTAATATCCAAAACGTTGGTGAGATGGAATATGATATCTAAATGTATATAGTCTAACTCAAAACACTGTAACAAATAAATATATATTAGTATTTGATTCATAAGACATGTATAGAGGTAAGCTATATGAATATATTAGTACTGAAGAAATCTAAATTAAACCAATTAAATTAAATATATATATATTGCAGAATTCTACTGTATATAGCATTTGAGATTTTGGTGGGTGAACTATATACTCAAGCATCAGATATTTACAGTCTTAGAGTTATTGCAACTAAGATTTTAACTAAGCAACACAGGTTGAATCAATGAATAACAAGTATATATCGGGAGACAAATCTCTCGATATGTACCCATTATTCTATTATAGATCTGTCAAATAACTGTAGCATATTGGTAGCATATTGGTAGCATATAGATTAGATATCGGGAGGTAGATTGATAATAGTAACATAACAGTAACATACTGAGACATCCCGGTATCTTACTCTTAGTATTATTTGGACTAAGAGTAAGATACTGGGATGTTCCGGTATGTTATTATTATGTTACTATTATTAATCTACCTTTTGATATCTAACCTATATGCTACCAATA